ATATTTGTGTATTAAAAATCAACGTGAATTCTTATTATACTAAAATTGAATAGACTATGCAAATGTATACCTAAATTTTTTCCTGATTTAAAACACCATTTTTAAATTTTGTTGAATATTTTTTATAGCATTTCAAACTTCTTGTGGATTTTTTTTTAGGCCAACCTTTTTAACTGTTTTTAATTACTTTTTATTGTGCAGCATTCATTAACACGAACAGGCGATTCGATTTTCTTCAAAATTTTCACGTTCTCCGCAATTTGCATTAAAAGATTTTATACTATAAACAAATACTAATTTAAAAAAAAGGAGCTTCTTAAACCTCTTAAGAATTTAATTATCTTTCAACTACAAAAAAGATATAGAAAATTATTGTAGATTGTCAACCTTTTTGCATGGTAAATTCCGCTTCCACACCACTGTGCGGTATCCGGTTACATANTATTTGCATTAAAAGATTTTATACTAACTATAAACAAATACTAATTTAAAAAAAAGGAGCTTCTTAAACCTCTTAAGAATTTAATTATCTTTCAACTACAAAAANAATTTGCATTAAAAGATTTTATACTATAAACAAATACTAATTTAAAAAAAAGGAGCTTCTTAAACCTCTTAAGAATTTAATTATCTTTCAACTACAAAAAAGATATAGAAAATTATTGTAGATTGTCAACCTTTTTGCATGGTAAATTCCGCTTCCGCACCACTGTGCGGTATCCGGTTACATATGTATGTATGTACGTATATTTTAAGCCGGCAATGCGTGAAAAACGGCACTTGCATATTTGCTGCTAAATACATAACTTACAATCATATCAATCAAGTTATGCTCCACATTGGATTGATTGCTGTTCTGACTTTCCGGTGAGTTGGAGCGACTGTTCGATAGACAGCCACCAATACCGCTGCCCATAAAATTATTCTGATACATTAACGGTATCGAATCAACCGATAAACCGTTGGCGCTCGATGAGTTGCTGCCATCGCTGGAATTTTAAGTTAAAGCATATTTAATTAAAATTCCGATATCAGGTATTTGGATATAAATCTTTGCATGTAGGTGTTATATGTTAATTAATTAGTTAAAAAACATATTAAAGTGAGCTTTACCTGACTAAAGGTGAATTGAGAAAAGAGCGATTGTAAATAGAGGTGGGCGTACTTGGCGATAAAGGTGCAGAACAATCGAAGCTGATGTTTCTTTGAAATACCTTAAGTGGTGTGTTATTTTGTGCAACATTTTCAAACTAAACTCAAATTCGATCCCATTTCATTAAAAAAAAGAAGAAGAACATACAAGAAAAGAAAATATAAACAATATATTAAAATCAAAAATTTAAATTACTTAGTTGAACGAAAGTATTTAGCGCAGAAGGGTAGAGTGTAAAATATAATATATTTAAATGCATGAATAATATATTTAATACCTTTTAGGCAAATGCATGGTATGAACTATTAAAAAAAAAAAAAATATATATATAAGTATGTGCTCTTAATGTTTAAATACAAATTCCTGTGCTGTCACTTAAAATTCTAAATAAAACCTCATTTCGTATAGGAAGAAACAATGTTTTTGGCAGGGCGTGTAATTCTAAGTCCTTTCCATTACGCTTCTGGAGCATTTTTACGCCAACAATAATTTGGTGTAAGATGTTTCTAGCATACACAGATGACATTGCTACACTTGGCCTTAAGCAGGGATCACATGATTTGTACATGTGTTAAGATTTGCTTATTTTGGCAGGTACAGGGTGGTACTGTACGGAAATTCTTTTATTGCACTGAGCTCAAATTTCTAAACAACACCACGCTGTGACTGCCAAAATGTACAAATCTGTACAAATGTACATATAGTGTGATCTTCGCTTTACACTCAAACGCTCTTGCGATGAAGGGCGCAACGGCAAGGTACCACCACCGAAAAATCGCTCATCGTTCGAATGAATTGAAATGCATTTAATTTATTGATATGAGTGAAAATTTGTTAATAATACTATATTGTGATTGATCGTTTTGTGACTGATCTGACTGACTGGCCATTAAAATTTAACACCGAAAGAAGGAAAACGTCTGCTGCATCGATAGTGACTAACAATTTGTCTGCTTAAAATGCAATATCTATTTCTGTGAATGTACGCTCTATTGAAAATGCAATAAATCTAACAAAAAATTTATCTTTTAAAGGAAAACTTCATAATAAAATTGTGCCTTTTAGTTTGAGGATGCTATCAACTGTTATTTGAGATGCATTCAAGAAGTAACATTTGGGATTTGAGAAAATGTTTATTGCGCAATGTTAGCCGGGGTTGGAACGAAAAATAACTCTCAGCTGCCGGTGTTAATTTGGGCGCGGCCAGCAATTGGAAGGCCGAAACTGTCTTGAAGTTTTACAATCCTCTAATAATTGTTGTCCTTTTATAGGACACCGCCTACTTTACCATCACTGCTTCTCATGGGCTTGTGCACACTGCGCAAACGTTCCAACCATACATACGTTATCTTAAAATTTTCTTCTTCTTTATTGGCGCTGTAAACCGCCTAGGCAATTTTGGCCGAGTCCAAAACAGCACGCCAGTCATTTCTCTTGTGTGCCAACTGACGCCAATCGGAAATGCCAAGTGAAGCCAAGTCCTTTTCCAGCTGGTCTTTCCAATAAGTATTTTCATTGTCCGTGCCTCCGCGCCATATACCAGCATAGGCATGATGAGTGACTTATAGAATGTGATCTTTATACGACGAGAGAGGACTTAACTTCTCAATTGCCTACTCAGTCCAAAGTAGCACTTGTTGGCAAGAGTGATTATCCGTTGGATTTCAAGGGTGACATTATTATTGGTGTTAATGTTGGTTCCCAAATAAACGAAGTTGTCTAATTTTTCAAACTTGTAACTCTCAACAGTGACATGTGTGCCAAGACGCGTATGCTCTGTGTGAGTGATGACAGGAGATACTTCGTTTTGTCCTCATTCACCACCAGATCCATTCGCTTTGCTTCTCTATCTAATCCCGAAAAGGCGGAACAGACGTAGCCCTTGTTTTTACCGATAATATCGATGTCTTCGGCCTACGCCAGCAATAGTACGCAGTTGTAAAGTATTGTCTTTGAGCGGTTGAGTTCTGCGGCTCTTATTATCTTCTCCAACATCAGATTAAAGAAATCACACGAAAGGGAGTCAGTGCTTGAAATCGACAAATATATGGTACGTGTGGATCCTATTCTCGCTATGGTGGATTTGCCAGGTCTAAAACCACACTTGATTCGATTCAACAAAACTATATGTATACATATAAATATAACATTTTTAAGTGACAGCAGATGCGAACTACTTATTTACTTATACATAAATGTGTAAACAAATTACATATATTAGGAAAAGTTTTCTAGCAAATTAAGGTGCATAAGAAATAAGTAAGCATAGATAATTCCACAGTGCTGTGCATTAAGGTGCATGAAATACACTACGGTGAAAAACAACAATGCCGATAAGTTACAAAACCAAGATAAACGATGCCAAATATGGCATTGGTTACAACTTCCGATTACTTACAATACTACTTACCTGAAAAATATCGAAAGAATTCGCAGACAGTGTACCCGGCGAGGCCGAGGATTGCGATGAGCTCGGAGTCAATGGTGTGTAGGCGGCCATTGAAGTAGACAGCGTGTCCACATTTGTGCCCAATAGCAGGGGATTTGTAGTTGATTTGCCAAAGCCAAGAAAATCGTTAAGAGCGATAGGCGGATCTGTAAAGAAAGAGAAGGAGAGATGAGTTTTTATAAATTTGAATGTACGCATATAACCGGTTTTATAAAGACTGTTTTCGTTTTTGCTTTAAAAATTTTACTTCTTATTTAAGGCATGAATATTAGTGGTACACTAAAAAAAATTTTTAGCCAAAAAAAAGGATTGAATATCGTTATTTGCTATTTCTTTGCCCTCTGGACACAAAGATGAAAATCACTGTCGCCCAAACAAGACTGAGCTTCACGAGGAAAAATTGGTGGAACCCCTTTTAAATCAGGCCTTGAAAACAAATGCTGAGATAGATTGAGAACCCTACCGCTGCACACACTAGGGAGTACGGGTACGCTGGCTTTACTCAGGAGGACTGAAGATTCCTTCACAGAGACAAGGAGTGACACCTTTTCAGTTCCTTTATATAGTAATTAGGGGGTTGCTACACATTATTCTCCCTAGACAGGAGATACAAATGGTTTCTTGCCAGAACTGTGGAGAGTAAATATGCCATAATATTTGCTATTGAATAGTTTGACATCTACAAATCGCCAATCTATTAGAATGGCGTCCCTTGCGCTGAAATTTCTGGAGTGTATGCTTTATTGCCTTGGGCATTTTGTATTCGCATGTTCTAAGTATACAAAGTTGTACGTAACTACTACTTCAGAGTTAACAGTAGGTACTTTGCCTTGGCCTCGTCTCCCACTTCTCTAATTTGAAAAAAAAAACACTATCAAATGGCTACTGAAGCTCCTTCCCTATGAGGCTGCAGCTAAAATTGTGCTTTTGAATCTACTCGTATTGTGTACTATATATTAGAATGTATCAGAAAAGTAGCATTTACATATGCAAATACATATCGTGTAGGAGCACTATTAGCAGCTCATACATGCGCCCACCAGTTCTTCGCAGCAGCTTCGCAGAATTTTTAGTTCAATACAAATAAAAATATATTTGCATGCAATTTCGCCTACACTTTGCTTCAAATTGTAGTCAAATAGTGGCTGGCTGATGTCTGATTGGTTGGTTGGACTAGCACCAGCGGCCACGTACACGCAAACAACCAAATAATGACAAATTATAACAAAGACAAATAATAAGTAGTAAATATCTAGTCCGCAACATTGCAAGTATGTATGTAGAAATATCGTACAAAAATCGTTGCAGTAGAAGTTAATTTGAAAGCCGAAGATATGTATGTAATACTTGGAGACAGCATAGGAAAAGATCACAATTAGATATCAATATACATATGGGGTATTCACAACGGTGTCGTCAGTGTCGTATTGTTGTATGTCGTAAACTTTAAAGGTCTAAAAAATATATTAAGGAGGTTCGCAAAGTACCATCAAAGTCATATTATGAATTTTCGAAGTGTTAAAAAATAGTTGGTTGTGGTAGCAAGTTCTCTCTCTAAATATTTATTTGAGCTTTTCAGGTTTATGACATACAACAATACGACACCGTTGTGAATCCCTCAATAGTTAGTTTATATGTTAGCAGCAATGGAATTGGTTTGTATTTCTTGCACTCGAGCACAAGCAATAAATATGCCCACGATAAATCAAATTTATCTGTAGTAATTTTTATTTCTGCTACTAATAGTACATCCATACATGCATATGCACATACACATGTACACATGAACTACCCTGCAGAAAAAATTTACGAATCGATACTTTTTCGAATTGAGGACAAATAAAAGGAAAATCGAAATTTCATATTATCATTTTGAAGTTATGTCTGACGGAGTTCGAATATGGGACCACCTACAGCAGAATATGTAAACAAATATGAAATGTAAAAATAAAATAAGTAAAGTTAATAAAAAAGAAGTTAAAAATAAATAAAAAAATATATGGTTTTTCCTATTGATATTTTATGTCCAGAAGTAGTTAATTTCAAGTTAGTTATATCAATTGCAGACGTAACCACCCTTGCAGAGGTAACCTCCCTTGATTATTTCGCGGCCATCGCCGATAATAGTGACTTTTAGCTACTTTTTAATCAACTTAAAGTTAGCTTATAGCTAGATACATTTCCAGCAGGGTACTCTATTGCCGATATATGTAGTTCATAAGTACCAGTGCGTTGTGCAGTTGACGCCATCCCCATTACGGCCGCTGATGTTCTTTATTGTCGTTGTCGCTGTTGTTGCTGCTGCTACAGCTGCATTTCCCAATGTGATGATGTATTCATAAGTATGTACATATTTACATACATAATGCACTCGCATTAAATATAGAAAGAGTGACTTTGCGCTATTTTGCCTTTGACATTCTGCATTTCCTTTACAGTTATGGTTTTCTGCTTTATAAGTTTTTAAGTAACTATCTAGCAAATATAATAAATTAAAATATGTATGTATGTGCTTTTCTATGTATGAATGTGCATATCATATATGTGTGTATGTATGCATATTAGACTGCATCACTCCCCATACAAAAAAATCGGTATTGTGTTTTCACTGAAATTACAAAACCTATTATATTTTAAGACTTCCACCAAAATATTTCGCAAAAATATTAACATTTACGTGAGTTAGACCGGTTTGCAAATACCCCTAAAAATGCAGTTTTTTATAAATAAAAATAGTTTCTTAAAGATTTTTTTGAAAAAAAAATCCACTCAAATGACAAAACGGTTAGACCTTAAAAAGATTCCAATGGAATCGTGGCAATGAAATCTTTGTTGCTAATACCTTTTTTCAAAGATTAGTATAAGAAAAACTTGAATAACTGAACCTAAACTATTCCGATTTAGACTTGTGAGGTGTCATTTGAAAGCTATTTGCTTTCTTTGCTAAAAAACTCATTCAAAGGATGAAAGAGAAAGGTAGGATGAACGATCGTCATTCCAAGTTGAATTAACATGTGTTGGTATTTGAAAAAAAAGTTGGGACGTGAATGAGTTTTTTTCCACAGAAACAAAAAGAGTGGGAAAACACCTTTCTACTGCAACCCCATAAGTCTAAATCAGAATGCTGTTGGCCCAGTTATCCAAGTTTTTCGTAAAGCAACCTTTGAAAAAGCAGCATCAAAATCTCATTATTACGATTCCTTTGAAAAGATTTTTAAATATTTTTGTGCAGGTTTTTTAAGCGTAATCTGTTTTGTCATCTGAGGGGATTTTTTTTTCAAAAATTTATTCAAAAAACTATTTTTATACCCGAGGGCACTTGTGCACAAAGGTATTATAACTTTGTTCACATAACGGTTGTTTGTAACAGGCAAAACGAATCGAGGTAGATGTAGACAAATGTATACATAAATGAAAAGAGAAATCGATTAAGCGACTGTCCGTCTGTCCGTCCGTCCGTCTATGCGCACGATAACTCGAGTAAAAATTGAGATATCTTAACGAAACTGGGTACGTGCACTTCTTTCTGGCGTAGGACAGATGGTATTGAAAATGGTCAAAATGGGACAATAACCACGCCATCTCCCCTATAACGGTAATTTTCAGAAATACGAAAACTGCGATATTTTAGCAACTACCGAAGATTATTCACTCAAAATTGATATTTACAATAAGTTTTAGACGAAAAATAAGAATATTATAAATTTTTGGAAAATGGGCTTAGCCACGCCCACTTATGGTTACATGTGTATATCTTGGTAACCGCTGCACGAATTTCTTCCAAACTTAGCATAGTTGTTGGCCTTGGTATAGTATACGAAAGTGAAGAAATTTTTTAAAATCGGACAACAACCACACCCACATCCCATATAACGGTAATTTAGAGAAATACGAAATCTTCGATAAATCAGTAAATATTAAAGCTAATTTATTCAAAATTGATGCTTGCAACAACTCTTTACCAAGAGTTTATGGTAAAATTTTGGAAAATGGGCGGGGCACCGCCCACTTATGATTACATATATGTATATATATCGGTAACCGTCGCACCAATTTGTACCAAACTCGGTATGGTTATTGTGCTTTCCACATAGAAGCAAAATGTTGAAAATTATTGAAATCGGACTAAATTTATGGCAGCTTTTTATATGACGGTAAGTTTCAGAAATGCTTGAAACTTCAATATTTCGAAATTTAAAGACGCTTATTTACACAAAATTGATACACCCGGGCTTACCATGTAGCGGTAGCTTTCGAAAAGGTGAAAAATATATATATTTAATACTTGCGCCGGGTATTTAATGTTCGGCTCCATCCGAACTGAGACTTTCTTACTTGTTATTCATAAAAAACTCAATTTTCGGAGGTATTTTCAACTCGATCAAGCTCACGTAAATCTTTACATTTTTGTCCTAAATATTTTGGTTGACGTCTTCAAATATAATAGATGTTGTAGTCCCGGCGGAAAAACCTCAATTTTTTTTGATGATGCAGTCTAATGTATGTATATGGATGAATTTTGTAAAATTCCATTGTCGAGCACAAGCGGGTTAAAAGACTTTATTGCAATAGGCACAACAGAGCGCAGTTGGCGCTTGCTCAGTAAAAACATTTGTCAAATAAAACATTACTCTGATATTCGCATACAGATAGGTTGCCCAAAGGCATACAACCACTCAAAGGCATGCAAATAGATATAATGAGCTACACATCTAAGTATTTCGAAGCACACATACATATGTATGTACGTACATACATATGTATGGGTGTGTATTGGACGAATACTGTCTAAGGCTGCCACCTCATCAATTGCCAAATATCGCTTGGACAACTTCGAAGAGAATCTGTTTGGTTTTGAATCAGTAAATAAATGTTTATTTTAGTCAAGTCACAACTACACACTTAAATATGCTCAAGCTCACTTATTTCATCGCATTTTCAATGGCAGTGCAAACATAAACTTTTTCCGAAAGAATGCCAGACACTATATTTCTGAGTTCAGTAACAAAAATTGTTCATCATGTGTTCATACAGGTTCGAGTAAATAGGGTAAGATTCCCGCGCCTCCGGAAAGGATGCGCAGGTGAAAATTAGACAGCTCGGCGCATTGCGATAACGCCGAAGGGTGAGCTTTTGATTAATTTACTTCCCCATAAATTATTAAATACATAAGTGCTATCTGAATGTTTCGCCAGGTAATAAGTCAAACCAAAAAGGGTGATCGTGCTGTTTGCACCAATTACCGCCGAATAAGCCGTCTTTATATTGCGTATAATATCTTATCAGGAAATAACTACTTGGGTCTTATCATTGTGGCTTTAGGCCAAGCAAAGGCACGATTGATTAGTTTATCATATTGTTGTAAATTCTGGAAAAGACCTTATATAAAGAAATCTCCGAATACCCTCTTTATTGTCCATTTTAAATTACTTTTGACAGCTCGAAGAAAAGCTGCCTATACCATTGCATCTTCAAATTTGGAATCGCTACAAAACTAGTACTAGTCAATCTTGGAACTTTAAGTCGAAATAATTCCCTAACGGACACATATTGTCTTGATCGGAAAAATATGCCTTTTAAAATAACAAAATATCCTATCGCTCAATTTGACAGGAAATAGTTTTAATGAAATAAAAACATTTTTTTTTGTGTGGAATATGTATTCATGTAATGTATGTAACATTAGGGGGCCCGTAGAAAAAAATAAGATCCTACCACTAAGTTTTTTTTCTTTTTATGAGAAATAATATTTCCTATATTTATAGATTTTTTTAATGATTAAAAGCCTTGCGCACACCAACGCGAAAGCGACAGCGACGGAAATAGCGATAGAGATAGCGGTAGAAATCGAACGCAATACGTAGAGCGTTCGATTTCCATCGCTATCTCTATCGCTGTCGCTATCGCGTTGGTGTGTGCCAGGTCTAAGAGTTCACGATCTGTCATTTTAGAGCAGAAAATATAGTTGTGTAGATTCATCAGTTTTTAAATAACTATTTTTCATTCGATTTTAAAAATCGAATATGTTCTAAATAAGGGATTAATAGGGCTACGCATGCATATATATGATCTAAGTGGGCGGTTCCACGCAAATTTTTTAATACAATGAAAACCCAAATTTTTATTAAATAAGCATGGCATATATAAATTTTCAGTTAATATTGATAAACTTTTTTATCCACAATGCATAATAATATGTTACACAATATGCTAGTGTTTGGCCCAGCTTCCTCCTCCGATTTGTGGCGTGCGCCTTGGTATTGGCACACAGTTTTACGCCGACTCCGAACGGCGATTGTATATTTATAAGAAGCTGTTTTTGATGGCAGAATGCACTCGGAGGTTTGCCATTGCCTGCCAAGGGGCGACTTCTATTAGAAAAACCTTTATTTTATTTTTATTTTTTGATGTTGTGTTGACACTGGCTGGCCCTGCGGAATAGTTGCGCGCACTGCTAACCACTACACCTCAGCGGCCGCCAATAGATTATTATTATCCTTGTTTCAGAACTTTTTCGATTTTTAAAATCAAATCAAATATAGTCATTTAAAAAAATGATAAATCTACAAAACCGCATTTAGTGACAAAAAAAGACGTGTCGCGACTTCTAAACCATTTTTAAAAATCTATACAAATAATTAGTATTACTTCTCGTAAAAAGGAAATAAGATTTTAATATTCTCTTCTTCCCCCTTCATGCTGGCTCTTGATGTTACCCCTCATCAAGCACGTTAATGTGCTAAGCCGGCTCCTAAGTGCAAAAGGCTCTTGGGAGCCACTGTGCCCATCTCTGATCTAACTTATTTTGTATGAAAATAATCGATAACGCGAAAGTGATTAGCCGCAGCGTAGTACATTCCACTCCAATTATGTAGAGAATTTCTTCCAATACAAAACGATATTTGGTCCATCTGGATCCGATGAACAAGAATTGTCAGTTATATTAGTAGCAATGCACTAATTAATTGGCAACAGTTTTTAATCAATTAAAAACACAGCCCAACAAAATTCCAACAACTGCATGCGGCACAACAAGTGTCAGTGGTTCTTATATAATTTGTTCGTATAATAAGAATCTGGCCTTCAAAATACCTTTTGGCCATACACTCCATTATACTAATTCTAAGAAGAATAAATTCCAACTTTAATCAAATTGATTAACATCTACCATAATAAATAAATTTGATAATGATATGACGAAAAAATACCAAGATATTTTAGAATGCATTGGCAAAATTTTTTTATTAAAAAAAATATTTTTGCGACTAATGTATTTTTTTATCTTTTGGGATAAAAGGAGAGAATTTAAAATTTTTATGTTGCTAAATGCATCGTTATTCTACCACTAAAGTTCAAAAAATTTTGAAAATTCGTTTTTGATACTTTTGATCCCAAATAGAAGCAGAGCTTTTCTCATGGACTCGGCGTCAAAGAAACCAAAAACTTACTGTCATAAAAAAGCGTCAAAAATAAATCCTCAATTTTATTCAGAAGATAAGTTGTAAAATTCAGCAGCGTTATGAAGCTCAAAAATTAAATAAAAAATTCAAAATAAAAAATTGCTTTGCTTGCATCTCCAAAACGCTTCTGAAAAATCTTCCTGTATGAACACTTTCATATAGCTACAGCAAGTTGAAAGCTTTACTCGGCTTGGAACGGCTTCGCTCGGCTCGGCTCGGCTTTCTGTGTGCACGTACCCTTAGGCCTGTACAAATCATTGGACTAATTGGTTAACTGACTGTTACCACGGCCACTAAATGCTTTTCCTCGACGATTCAATTACTGCAAGAATTTGAAGTCTATTAAAGGAAATTTCATTTAAATTCAAAAATAGTTCCAAATACAATTTTGTACGTAAAAAGTTTGTTATTTATATGGTCGCGTGGTTTTAAGAAATGAAAAATTAAATTGCGAAAGCCTGGATTTTTTGCATATGGGCATTATTTCTTAAATACTGAAATTAAACTTCATTAGTGTGACTAAGGGGGTGGTAGAATCGCCACCATTTTGAAAGCAATTCTTAAACTCCATGCAAATGACCATTTTAGGACCTCAACTAAACCAACACAGTATCACGTGTGCCCCATCAGCTTTGGTGCTAAAAGCACAATGTCATCCCTCCAAAGTATTTGTGGTCCTAGGCATGTTACTCAAAACTGCGTCATAGTGATTCCATAATTTAGTTGGATACTCCGAACTCTTCTGCCGACCATTTCCCGAAAACTACCTAACAACCCGAAAATGTAACATATCCCCAGTTTAGAGTGAATTTTTTTTCTTGAGTTTTTAGACGTTAACGAAACTTGTTTGCATTCTTTAGAAATTATCGGATTTTTAGTTATTTTATTGGACTCATTAAATTTTCGTTTCACTGGACAGAAAAGGTCAGGCATAACATAAGTAATTTTAATGTTTTGGCATAGGTTGAATTTTTAATTTTCCTTGCTTCCTGCATTAAAATGTAAGTCTTCATAAAATATCGACTTAGTAACTTTTCACTCTAAACAAGTGATATACCCCTAGCCAGTGATTTTTTTGGGATCGGTAGAGCAAGCTCATATAGCCACATATTCTCTTCAAACTTACCATTTAAAGGTGATATTAGCTCATCATTGGTCTCGTTTCGCCTACTCAAAAAATCTTGACGCTGTTCCAGCAACGAATTAATTGAGTGTTTTGTTAAAATATCAGCACCAGCACTTGATAAAGACCTCATATTGGCTGCTATTGAGTCATGCGCACCAAACTGAAAGGCAAAAATAAATATGAAAGGTTATTTTTTGTATTCTGTGTAATCGTTTATATGTTGTGAATAAAGGAATCAGAACTAAAATTTGAGAAAACTTTCCATTTTACATTTTATATTCTCTGAAAACAAAATGTGTGCATTTGTATGCCATGTCGTATACGTGACATTGCAAATCTGAGCGCATAAAAATACTAGACACAGGAGCCTACTTATTATACAACTTGGCAGCAACAGACTTGGCACGGTCGAAGTAATTGCAGTTGACGCGTTTGAAAAACCGCAACAATTTGAAACTAATGAATCGCTTACTTTTCTCATGAATTCTCGAAATCCACTCAGTGACGCGCGCCCACTTCAACGGCCATCGAAGTGCACTGAACAACGACGAAGAGCATACAAACTATCGCAGACGAATGCTCACTCATTGATACATACATACATATGTACATACGTACTAGATGTATGTGTGTATAACAGTAGCAACAAATCATTTTGTCATCGCGATGCAATGGAGGTATTTCCCAGTAACTCCACGAACGCAATAAAAACCAAAACCGAACGATGGGCAACAGCACGCGCACACTAACGGCCAAACATTGCCACATACGACTGCAGCCAACCACAAGCAGGCAAGCAACAACATCGAAAACGATAGTTATCAAGGCCGTGCACTTGCACACCCACTGTTTGGGGGAGGGGCGGAAAATTGCAACAATTACAATTAATGTGAGCAAAAAACCGGCGATCAGCCTCAAACTCGTCCTTATGCAACAACATGGCAGGCGCTTACAGAGAGCAGCAACAGTGTTGATGGCAACATTGTAAGTTAGTTAGTAATAGCAACAATAGAAACACCAACACTTTTCCAAATCGAATGGTGAGTGTGCACTTGAGCGTTTGGCGCAATTAAAAGCGCATCAAGTGTCTGTGGAGTACCATTAAACTGCCAAATTAGTGCAAACATTGTTATCAGGCACTCACCAAACAATTTGGCAAAAATGGCGTACAACTCATTACGCCAGATTAACGAAAATTATGGCAACAAGTGAATGCCACCCATGGAAGTACACATGCATACATCACCATGCATTCAGTAACAAACGGAAAGCTAGCGTTACATCTACTTATATACAGTATTGGTCAATGCAATAGCACCACCATTTCAATGTGATATTGTTTGCCAGTTATGTTTAGATATTTATTTTTAGGAATTTTCAATTAAAGTACAGTTCGTTCTCTAACAAAACTCATATAAACCCAAGTTTAAAAGTTTTTAAAAGACTACCAAAAAAAACGCAACAAAATTTCACCCGAATTTCAAACTTTTTTCTCAGAAATGTTAGAATTTTTCCGAGAGGACAGTTTTATAGCCCATTCAATTTTATTCTAATAATACGCAAGTTTCAAGTAGCTAAAAATTACCGTTAAGTTTTTAGAATTTTTTTCGCCGAAGGTGTTAATTTTTTAGATTTTTTTTTAGCCGATGGTGTTGCGACAAAAAAAATTCTAAAAAATCAACGGTAATTTTTAGCCACTTTAAACTTGCACGAAACAATTCTGAGAAAAAATTTGGAAATTTGGATGAAAATTTGTTGCGTTTTTTATTTAGTCTTTTCAAAAAGTTTTAAACTTGGTTTTATATGAGTTTTGTTAGAGAATAAATTGTATTTTAACTGAAAATTCTTAAAAATAAATAATTAAATATAAGTGGCAATCAATATCACTTTGAAATAGGGGTGCTATAGATATGCCCAATACTGTACATACATATGTATATGTAACAAGCAGGCACACTTTCGACACACAAGCTCACACGAACAATATGTATTGATGTAAATAAAATGTAAAATGCAATGTAAATGCACTCGCTTAAGTTTGCAAACGCNCAGACTAAAATTGAATAGGCTATAAAACTGTGTACTCGACACAGCTGAGAAAAATTTGGGTACGTTTTTTTTTAGTATTTTCAAAAAGTTTTAAACTTGGTTTTATATGAGTTTTGTTAGAGAATGAATTGTATTTTAACTGAAAATTCTTAAAAATAAATAATTAAATATAAGTGTCAATCAATATCACTTTGAAATAGGGGTGCTATAGATATGCCCAATACTGTACATACATATGTATATGTAACAAGCAGGCACACTTTCGCCACACAAGCTCACACGAACAATATGTATTGATGTAAATAAAATGTAAAATGCAATGTAAATGCACTCGCTTAAGTTTGCAAACGCAAGACGCTTTTCAGTCACATTTACAAAACTATTTATCTAAGTTCAGATGGCACAAAGATGTTCCACAACCAGCCACGTTACGTTTGCCAACCGCAACCAGCACTCGCCGCACAGCATTACATTGACTTACGTAATAAGTATGTACTTAAGAACAAATGCGTAATTAACATAGCAAAACAAAAACAACCATCTAAGATGTACAAGTAGAGAGTGTCTTGAAAAGATGCGACCGAAGAGAACTTTAACTACAGGCTTCTCAGAAATCGTGCATTTCCTTAAGTTACAGATGTAAGTAAGTTACAGATGTAAGTACATATGTACATTTAATGCATATATACATACATACTACATACAGCTGGCAACGGGAAGGTTGATTTCAAATACGTGAAAATTAAATGAGCAGCTATGTTTGCNTACAGATGTAAGTACATATGTACATTTAATGCATATATACATACATACTACATACAGCTGGCAATGGGAAGGTTGATTTCAAATACGTGAAAATTAAATGAGCAGCTATGTTTGCGTGTGTGCATCGACATCTGGACGGTTGGTAAAAGTTTGAGAATATGGTTTGTGTTGCTACAAGGCAGCTAAGCTGAGATTATTAGAGTTCTGAATGGGAAAATTATGCCAACTATTTGTCCGTTTAACAGCAATCAAGAAAGCACGAAATTCGTGGGTTAAAAGTGAAATTAACTTATAAAGTAAACCCAGTGAGATAGGGTATTTGGTTTTCACTTTGCTAATATTTTCTGGAAGTATACATATCCAGTAAGAAAACACTCGATGAATTTACGAACGTTAGCGCGTATTTTTATTTTATGGCCTACTAAAGTTTTCATGTCTCGGGCCTTAGTAGTTTTCAAAACATTGGAAAAATGGTTAAAATAAATGTCTAAGCGAAATTAAAGGGTAAGACATACATATGAGTAAAATTTCTTGGGAAATATTTTCGTAAAACATTTTAACTCATTGGCTCCCACCTAAAAGGATCATTTTGACCCTTACTTCAAGAAATCCCGCAAAAAGCAAAATTCGAAGGTCCTTAGAGGATTGATATATTCTAGCAAATTATTCTTCGGGAAATTTTACTAGGGGTCTTTTCAGGCAAAAACTTCATGCCACCAACGTAAAAGTCTATACATTAACAGCCAAGCTCAATTTTAACAAGTTGCTTATAAAAAAAAATTTTGTTTTTTTGATTTTTTATTTACATTTGTTGGACTTTTACGTTGGTGGCATGAAGCTCTAGTAAAATTTTCCGACGAATAATTTTCTAGAATATATCACTCGTCCAACGAACTTCCAAATTTGCTTTTTCCGTGGTTTCCTGAAGTAAGGGTCAAATCGACCCTTTCGGGCAGGAGCTAATGGGCTAAAATTTTCTACGAAAATATTTACCATGAAATTTTACTATATATGCCTTAACCCTTAATTTTGCTCAGACATTTGTTTTAACCATTTTTCCACTTTTTTTTTAAAACAACTTAGGCCGAGGCATACAAACTTTAGTAGGCCATAAATAAAAATTCGGGCGAACTTTTGCAAATCCATCGAGCGTTCTACTACCGGATGGGTATACTTTCAGAAAATGTCAACAAAGTCTAGGCTGGTCTCGGCTGTCACACAGTGTTATTGAAAAACCGTTAATATATTTTTTTAAAGATTTACTATAAGAATATAGTGCAAAGAACCCAACACTACTTGAAAATTATATATGTATATTTTTTTCTAATAATTATTTTAACACTACTTTCTACGTTTAAGTTGTATCTGCCATTAAATCGTGCGTCATAAACTAGTATTTATTTCACTTGTAAATAGGCACAATATCCCCTTCTGAAAAACTTTATGCATGTTCTCATTCACTGCTCATTGGTTATCAATTAACTGCCGATAAATTTAATTGTCTTATACCCATTAGCATAGCATAGCATACATATGCACTCACTTGTAATATTTATGTTATTGATCTANCTCATTCTTTAGCATAGCATACATATGCACTCACTTGTAATATTTATGTTATTGATCTAGGTAGCCGCCGTGGTATAGTGGTTAGCAGTTTGCGCTACTATTCCTCAGGGCCTGGGCTCAAGCCCAGGTTTCGACTAACATAAAAAAGGGAAGAAAAAAGTTTTTCCTAATGGCGTTGACAACTCGGCAGGCAATGACAAGGGTTAACAATATTTCATTTCCTTTCAACAACTAAGTACGCCAACTTTGGTGCCTATAAAACTCCATTCGAGGGAAGCATTGGTATTTCGCGTCCATCTGTAGAAAAGTGCAGCATAAACTCATCGGCTGTTGTGTGAAATATACTGAGAACATGCTCCATCAATTTCAACGTATGAGTACTGGTTCCGACGTTTCGAAAGTTATGATATTTTACACAATCGAAGAGGAGCGCGATGGAGGGCCATCAACGCCTTTAGACGGAAAATTAGGACGAAGACCCGTACCAAACCCGAGAGGTATAGGGGCAATGTTAGGCGTGACTCAACAAGACTTTTAATTGCGATTGATTGGTAAAGCCCAGAAAGTCGGAAACTGGACGCCTCATGAACTCAAACTAAGAGATATCGAACGGCGTGTCACCACCACCAAGCCAAATATCTATGACAGCAAGGTAATACTTTGCATTTGGTAGGGCCAGAAGGGAATTCTGTATGATGAGCTCTTAGAAGTGGTCAAAAGATCGATGGGGCTCGCTGCAGACCACAA